ATAGAGTGGTAACAAAACCTGTGTTTCCTGGTCCTGGAGCTGAATGGGGAAACAAAGGAGGCAGAAGTGCTATTTGAGACGAGGCAGTCGTGAAGGGCTCTGGAAGGAGGTGGCAGTTGAGCAGAGGCCTGAGTGAAGTGAGGGAGCAGAGCTGTCCGGGAATGGTGAAGTCCTGGCTAGAAAAACAGCAAGTGCAGGGCCCTTGGGCAGGGCTAGATTTGGCCTATGTAAGAAACCACCCAGAGGCCTATATGACTGAAACAGAGTGAGCAAGAAAGATGGGTGAGATAGAGGATCAGATCAGAGGGTTATCTGGGAGCAGGAACACAAAAGTCTTTGCAAGCCTTCTGCGCAGAGCAAGGGGCCCAGAAGCATTTGCAGAAGGAGGATGAAGCATCCCTGCTCAAATGCCTACCAGGGCTCTCTGCTGCCCTCTGTGCTGGGTGGTACCACCTGGAGAAGGTGAGAATCTGTCAGATACATCACCATCCATTCTTAGGAGCTATTTCAATCCTGTCCTCCTCCCTTCACCAACTATTCTGTGCACTCAGTTCGGAGTCTGCCTGCTAATTTACTAGTGCCAAGCGCAACACATCCCAGAGATTCTGCTGCCAGCATGGGTGAGCTGAAGGTCAGTATTTGCGGCACTCCAAGCCCCAGCCACCCCAGTTCCAAGCCTGCATGGTGGCTGTTTCTGCATTCACAGTTACGGAGCAGTTGCTCTGTGCCACCCCCTCCCCCATGCATGGCTTTCTGTGCCCACATCACCTTCACACAGTCCTGAGCTGGAGTTTTTGATCCTTGCCACTGTACAGGCAAGGAGGTCCAGGAAGTAGACGTGGTCAATCCAGGTCCTACAGTCAGCATCAGACCCAGTTTCTCCACTTCACCACCTGGTCCTCATCTTCCCTCTCCATCCATCACCAACTACAGCCTCCTGGTCTCAGAGTTAAAAGGCTGCCACACCCTGTAACTTTCAAGGCATCTTTGTGTTTTAGCAACAACCACTCTATTTCTGAAACATAAGTGGTGTTGGGGGCTCCATGAGCCATGGAGTTTGTCAAGGTCCCACACTCATTTACTCCCATTCGGGGGCATCTTCACGTGGCTGCAGTCAGAACATAACAAGTTATCTTTTCAATGAACTTTTAAACCTTAAGTGGCTTTTTATAGTTTGGCTCAAAGCCGGCAGAGCCAGGTGTCAGTAAAATCGTCATTATTATGGCAAAAGTTAACTTCAAGCTGCTTCTGTCAACACGGTTCCCCCATCACATTTATAAGTTAAGTAGAGAAGTTCCAGCACCTTCACATGGCCCAGTCCTGAGATCTGTATGTCCGAGAAGCAGGCCACTATCTTCTGAGCCACTCGCAGGTGTGGGGTGTGAAAGACCTTGCTGGCCTGCCACAGTTTGAGCGTTAACAGCACCAACATGCCACTTTAGCATAGTGTTCATTGAACGTTTGCTGTGTGCCCAGAGTACTCCACCGCCGTCTATGCTGGGAGGTAGTGCCTGTATCACTCCCTTTGACAGGCAAGGGGATGAGCTCAGAGAGATGTAGTAACTTGCAAGGTTACCGCACTTCCAAACTTAGATAATTTTTTGTATTTCTAAAACCTGGAATCAATTCTTTGTTTTGTTCTTGCTTCTCTTGCCTGTCATTTATGAGCCTTTTCTTATGCCTGTGGGCAATTTCGAAACAAATCCCCTCTGGAAACAGTTTCTAGGCAGCTGGGCATGTCCAGGGTGTCTGGGTTTTCGGGGGGTAATTAAGGAAACATTGCAGGTGTGACTGTTGATGAACCTTCATTGGAGCGGGAACAGCCAGGCCGGACACACGGATGGAGACACTGGGCAGGTAGTTACGTTTAGTATTTTGTGAAATGTCAGCCTCCTGACCCAAGCCTGGGAAGGCAGCCACGGTTAATTTCCTTTCTGGAGAGGGGCTTAGCAAGTCAGAGAGCTGGGCTCAGGGGGCTGCTGTGAGCAGTGATCAATGCATTAGAGAAATACAGGGCTAACAAGTTCTGAGTCACATCCCCCAACCCCAGTCCACCCCAGCCCCACCCACACCCACCCACGGGAGCAACATGTATGTGTTGTAGACACCATACAGGAACCATTTCTGACCTACCTCCCTTCTGAAAGCCAGCTCGGCCGCAATCAAGAGCTACTGTGTTCATCTACTCGGGCCTCAGGCTGCCATGACCAAATAGCACAGACTAGAGGCTTCAACAACAGAAATTCGTTTTCTCACAATTCTAGAAGCTAGAAGTCTGAGCTCAAGGGGTTAGCAGGGTTGATTTCTTCTGAGACCCCTCTCCTTGGCTTGTAAATGGTTGTGGTCAAGTTCACGGCTACGCCAATTTTTATCCCCAGGGTCAGGTTCCAGCTCATGCTGAGGTCTGAAGGGAGTGGGTGAATGAGCAGACAGCTGGAAGAACACTCAGGGGGCCGTAGACAGGTGCAATGTAGTTCTCTCATCAGCAGCTCACTCACACTAGTTCTTTCACGCTGTCCACCCTGTCTTGGCTGCTTAGTCCAGCAGCTCCCACACACGGCTGCACTGCCAGCTCGCCCTTCAGGGTCAGCAGCTTAACTCTTCGTCTGGGCACCAGAACTCCGACTGTGTCCTGGCTCCCCCCTTTCCTTCTTGCAGATGGACATCTCTGGTTCTCTCTCTCTTTCTCTGGGCGCCAGTGCGAGAGTGCCTGTACAGTGTCAGCAGGGCAGTTATACCTTTTACAGACAACAGTGGTATAGGGCCAAGGGATGCCCTTCCCATGTTATGGCTACATGGCTGTGATAGCAAGTGGCGTTAGACACCTGCCCTCTAAACTCACTGAGTCGCTCTGAATGTTTACCTCAGCCTACCCTTGACCAAAGCACAGCCATGTTCCTTACAGCTGTCTTCTCCCTGTGTCCTCACGTGGTCTCCTTTCTGTGTGGATCCGTGTCCTCATCTCCTCTCTTATGAGGACAGCAGGATATTGGATTAGGGCCCACCCTAATGACCTCATTTTAACTTAATCACATCCTGAGGTGCCAGGGCTCCTAATGACCTCATTTTAACTTAATCACATCCTGAGGTGCTAGGGCTTAGGACTCAACGTATGAATTTCAGGAGGGACGCAGTTCAGCCCACAGGAGCCACCAAGAGAAACTACTCACACATCTTGATGTTTCACTTATTCCAATAGGTGTCAGTGGCAAATGTATTCCAGCCCTCAAACAGACCCCTAAGAAGCCTGGACTTCTTCCTCAGAATAAAATATCTGAGCCAATAGAGCCACAGACAACAGCACAAATCACACCTGTATTGTAGCCCATGTATTAGCACAGGGCCCTGGGCATACTCCTCAAGCATAGGTTTTCTCTCCAAGCATGAGTTCCCTCACCTGTAAATTGGAAAATCCTTAGACCTCTTGTCACCAACAGAGAAAGGAGGCCACTGTGGTTGTGGGGAGGAGCCCACATCCCTTCATGCTCACCTCTACACGCTGGCTCTGGGATCGTGTTGGCAGCATTTGCTGTGGTCAGCATCAGTGTTGCTTAGGCCATTTGTTATAAAGCCTGCGAAAAACAGTCTCCAGTGTGGACTGCCAATATTTTCTGATTCAGAGAAAATTGCATGCAAATGTATGCCTCTTTGATTCTACTCGAGTTGTAAAATCCAGTTTGAGTTCAATAAATTCTGGAAGGGAGCAAATTATTCTTTTCAACCTGAAGAATATTGGGTCATATCCTGAATGCCTCAGCAGAGTGAGATGGGCAGGGCTAGTCAAAC